GACCACAGAAAGCACACGACAGTGCGCTGCTGTTATCGCTACCCTAATTAGATTAGATACTTAATCGACAATTATTGCATTTATATGACATCGCGATGTCGGTGAACGAACCGCACGACACACCGTGAATAAACCGCAGAACGCAAATAAATTGAAACAACTACGGTAACAATTTGATTCGAAGGGGTTATCTCTCGCTAACGTATCAATACTTATCTCATAAATTATAAAATGGGGAAAAAAAATCTTTATTGCGAAGGGCAACGTACAATCCGACCAGAAAGTCTATGACTTATAGATTCGCAACATTATAGAAAATTTATAATATTTTAAGAAATATTTTAACAAATACTGTTAGCAATATGGTTGGCAAACTCCGCTAATAGACCACATCGACAAATAGAAAATACAATGGGCGGAAAATTTACATACAGGTGCGACGAATAGTGTCAAATATTTGAGGTTCAGTTTGAACAGCAGCATTTCAGCTGTGCCTCTTACGTACTTGTACTTCTAGTTTTTATTTGTTCTATCCGTGCATCTTTATCTTCGCATATGCGTAATAAAAGCATTTAATGATAATAACAATATTGCAATATACCAGTGATGATAATAATAACACTAGAACGACCGTGTTGTTCTAGATAAACAATTTACCACCTATTTTTAAGATCTATTATCCGAATAAAATTTCAAACTTTCTACAAATTAAAGCAAATTCTTTTGAACTACTTTTCTCGAGGACTGTAAGAAACTCGATTTTTTTTGTCGGCCTCAGTCTAATCTCTACAGTCCGAGTCCTTGGTTACTCGTACTCTAGTTTTGCTGCAATTTGGTACATGCGATACGTCCCACATCGTTTTACATCGCCACAGACGTCGCTTACACAACGTGGCTAAGAATAGGAACATCGGGAACCAGTAAAACCAAAAGTGGGAGGTGCTCTTCGATCCACGGCAAATTGGGAGCGAAATCTCAGCCACCAAAAACTTTCGATCGCGATTTTCAAGTTGCCTGGCAAATTTTTTGATCGCCAAAAGCATCGATACGCGACACAATTATAATAAAAACTAAAGACTCTCAATTTTGTGACCCAACTGATTAATGGTATAGAGCAAAATAATAATATAGGGGAAGAATAGGGGGGAGGGGGAATAATAAATGTATCTTTTTAAGATTGGCGAGGTTTTCCCGATGAGAACGAGTCCAAACATGACCTAGATCGAACTATTTTTGATCACACAGCACTCGATTTAGTTTTGACAAACTGTCAACTATTGTAGGAAGAGCGAAAGATTAAACCTGGTAGGAACTGCGATTCGTATTGAGTCAGACGTTTCAGTCAGCCTCGGTATGGCCTACGATATAACATAAATTACTCGACAGTGTCCACATTCTATTGATTGATGATATTGCACCAACCTAGGTCTAATTTTTCTTCGTTGCTGCAATACATATAGCTGAAAATAATCCGAACTAGATCGTGTTTGGACTTATTTTCATTGGAAAAACCTCGCCAATCCATTACCAATACTATTACGCCTCGAGACACCTTGAGATTTTGAAAATTCTAACCTGAAAGACTTTGTGTCACATTCCTCTCTCCATATTATCTTTCAATAAACGTAAATGCTGAAGGGTACGATTCAGTCACTTAAATCCGACATAAAAATTGTCGTTAAGTGGACGTTATGGTACCCATAAAATGCTTTCTGTTATTTGGCGGAGAATTTAATGCACGAGTTGTAAAATGTTAAGCCAAGGAATAAAAGGCACCGGTTAGATTTAATGGTGTGACGGCAACATCTGTTACCGCAACTTGGTGCTCTCAATTGTACACGTAAATGTGCTTTCGAGGTTAGGGTAATAACAGCATACATCTGTACCACGTTTTTGTATTGTTAATATATATTTATCTAGATAAAATACTATTTATTATTGAGATAACTTGGATATACTATTATTTATTGCTCGGATGATTCATTCGTTCGGGCGAACTGTTATTTATTATACAGATAATTGTTCCTAGGAACTAACCTATATTCGTGGAGATCATAAACGACCAGAGAACAATTCGTGAAACGTGTGTTTGGCTATTTTCTGAAACACGTTAGATATTTGAAAAAAAAAATGATTAAAGAATGGAAATACTCGGGAGTGTAGAAAGTCTAGGCAAGAAACTCCGGCGTTCACGGCCGCCATTGTAGTCCCTAATCCTACGCGGCGTCTGCGTGTTCACGGAACAACGATCCCCGACGGACTTTTCCTCCGGCAACCACCGTTAAGTTTAACGACTTCGCTCGCTGGAAAGCATATACTCGCCTCTACAATACAGTCCGAGAGATGACGTAATTGAGTAAAAGGGGATTGACCCCCTCCCCCAAATATGACGAGCCATCCAGCTAAGTCTAAAGAGGCACAGATTGGCCTTTCAATTTCTATCACGAGGAGATTAGTATGGCCGGGAAGTCGGTTACCAAATGTGAATCCGTCGCAAATATCGACCGCGTGTGAACGTGTTAAAAATATTTCATAGGTTATGCAATCTACCAACTGAATTCGATAGTTAGATCGGGGTGACATTTTCAATGTTTGTTCTCGAACTGTATTCAATTTTCATGGACGGTATTAGCATCAGAAATGTTGTGGAATAACACGTGAATTTCATTAAATTAAACTTACGCCGCGAGCAGAGAGCGGCGACTGTAAAATGGCGGGAATTTTGAACTCCATCGGCGTCTTTAGTTTGTATATAAAGTGGCGGGAATTTTAAACTTTAATCAGTGGCGTGAATAATTTAAATTTATTTGTCTTCGACGAAGAGCACTATTTTCATAGTGTTTCCAAAGTACACATGCGACGCAATAACTACGTGCATCGCAGTATTATATACTATTTTTTTGTTACATAATTCTTTGAACAATCGAAGAGGGCATTGTTTCTATTATTCACCGTATCACTCAATTACATCTCATCCGCGCAACAGCTGATGTCTGCTAAAGATTAAGCCATGCACACGATCAAGTCCTCGTAAATAATATAGTAATCGACAGAGATGACTTCATTTTTACTTTGCATAATGTTAGAAGTCATATCGAACAAAAAATATCGTTTTTTGTCTATTTACATCCGCATATAAATATATACTACTAACACTCTGTGTACCAAGAAAATAATTAACAGAGGAAAGTGATTAAATCTACCTTTATTGGCAATACAAATTTTTTTCTTGCCCTTTACTTTGTCGCTGATAGGCTATGAATAAAAATGGCTCCTGCAATTACAGCGTGTGCCTATTTTGTGCTCGGAGAGACACCGTCGTTAAGAATGACCGTAAAAAGTAACGACGGGTCAAGGGTTAAGGAAATTATGCGATGAATATTCGATAAGATTGAACACCGTAGTTGCTAAATAATAATTAGCGAACGGTAAAGAGATTATGTAGTCAAGGGGAGCACGCTGAAAGCGGTCAGTGACTAATATGGCGGTAAATACGATATTAATGACGCAACGATAATAAACGAGATTGAACGCGTCTGGCAAATGAACGCGTTATTTTTAAACATCGGTTCAACGATGATTACAGTGTCATTGTGTTCCGAGACTTTTCTATCTATTATACGATATGCAAAATTTCATTTACTATCTCTTCGGTCCTACAATGCGCAAACATTAAAGCTATTTTAATTTTTATTAAATACGGCACGTTTCACGTAAAACTACATATTTATATTGTAAAAGTAAATTTCATTCATAATTTGAAACGTATCGATTTAAATACATTGTCAATAAAGGTCGATGTAATTATTAAAATCCACGATTACCAGCACTTATGAATGTGAGAATCATGCTAGTAGCGACAATTGAACATAAACAGGGTAACAATAATATATACACACTTCCTTGGTTGAGCAGAGATGCCAATGTTGGCCTCTTCTAGCCGACACTTGTTTATACAGGTGAATAAACTGACGCTAATACGCGTAGCCTTTACGCTCAAACGCTAAACTACTTCCGTCGAACAGATGAACACTCCTGGGCACAGGCTTTCAAAAATATTCCTTTCGTTATGTTTGCGAAACGTAACCGAACCGTAATGGAACAAAGCTGACACGGGTACCGCGCGAGCCTATTTCAGAAATAATAACAGTAAATATTCCACTGTAATGACTTCAGGAACATTGCCCGATATTTAATTAAGAGGATTACGAAATTGCAATACACGTGGAACAAATTTTATCGATCACACAATTGCGATATGCGATAATTTACATTAGCAGAATTTCGAAATATCATTCTGAGTTCAGAAATTACGTCACACCCTTAAGGGAACGGAGATAAGGAAATATATTAGATATATAAAATCGAACTGAGTGGAGAATTCCACTAGAAGAAAAAATCTTTTTTCGATTTCAATGATAAAAATATTGGTATCTCTTATCTAATCCGTTCCTCGAATTAGAATCATTTTAAGTCCACATGGCACTCGGTACTGTCCCAATCATTCTTTAATTGATACTCGAAACGGTTAAATACTGATCGAGCTTCGATGCTTGAAATTATTATTGCCATTTTGTATCATGATTTCCAAATAAAATTAATTCTGAATTTAATATCTGAGTATCGTTATTACTAATATAAAATTTGATGAAAGAACGAGCTTGATCTATAATTGGCAGATTGGTATAGCAAAATTGCGATCCACGGAGTGTTTGAGCGGACGAAAAGTTGGAGCAATCGAGTACGGAAAAATTCGTCGAGTGGTCCGTGGGCCACAATGGAGTCACGAGTTTCAGGAAAGGGGAAGAACAATGAACGCGAGAGACACGATCGCGTCGTTGTCCATTTTTCCAACGCCCGGAGAGCGTCGTTTCCTTTCGTTGGGGCGATCGAAAACAAGCACTTTCTCGCCGGGAATGAAGAACGCTCGAGAGAAACGGAGTTTACGTCCGAGATTATTCGGCGAGACCGAGATGAGAACAGAGGCTCTTGGTACTCACCGACTCGGAGAGGTAAGACTCCCACAATTCCCTAAGGTCGCTGGTTCCCACGTCGTAGAATTCCATGATAGGCTTCCTCGGTCTTTCCTAGTGGTTCTGCTGCCGGTCGATGGATCGTAGTGTCTGCCCATGGGAGAACGAAGATCATCAGAAGAACACGGACGCGATCTCTCCTCGGGTATCCATTGTCGGCCACGGATGCGTTCTGGAAACAATTACTTTTCTCAAAGAATTCCTTCAGGCAACTTAACACATAAATATATTTTATATTTATTTTTCTCTTATTCTATCTGTTGTACTACAGAGAGAAGAATTAAATTCCTTCTACGGAGCCCCCCCCCCATAAATTTCTAAGGACTGTTAGTCCAGAAGAGAGGCTACAGAATCCCCTCTACCAAGAGCTGCAAAATTTTTAAAAATAAATGTTCTACAGTATGCACTTGCACGAACAAATAATTAATGTAAATTTTGGTCTCGAACAATTTGGTTTGTTTACTTTAGATAAGCAACCATGCTCCATCGAAACAACCGTATCTTCGAGGATATTAAATATTTTTGCACGAAAGGAATTGTGTATACTTCTTAAGTACAAGCCAAAAACACGCGATGAAATCCGATAAGGAAACGCGATAGCTTTCTTTTCTATAAATTCCAAAGAACACGCGAGAGACCGGCGTCTAGAATACCCTCTGTTCTATGGTTTGGTAACGTGAGGCAGTCGGGCACGATTTCGCTAAATCGACATCGATATTTTCGCGACAGTTATCGACGATGGAGATCTACGCGAAGCGTTAAGGGCGTGGAACGTCGGAGCGCTCGCCACCGGCTTGATACTAAGCAAACAAACGCGATAATTAATCTTGGAGACGCGTCTCCGTTGACAGATAATTTTGCGCGAGAGTTCCGCGCGTCGATTCATTTTACCAAGAATAACAGACGGTGCACTACATTTTCGTCCGTAAGATATTGACGGAGGCGCGTGTCCCGCTGCAACAACAACAACGCGAACTAATAGTCGAATGCAAATTGCGTCGCGTTGCACGCGCTCACGGTTTGGCATTTAATACCTTCTGTTGTTCCACATTGCAGCACGATGCAACGACTGCATTGCAGGGCGCCGCGCGCTCTAACGAGATCAATGGACCTGTCTCTATGGGTTAAGTATGCTGTAGGGCATGTAACGGGTGTCCCGCTACACACAGTACCCGAACTAAAAATTGGAAATCTTGACTGGATTCTTTTGAACCAATTGACGAGAAAGTGAACCATACAGAAGGATCGTTAGAAATTGTATAAAAAAAATATTTTCTTGAACGCTATCTAAAAGACAACACGAAGTATATCTATGCGTAAAATTAAAGGGATAACGTGGAATAAAATTTTTTCTACGAAGCTTAGTTTTCGAGGAAATCGAAGTCAAAGTTGCTGAACCCGGGCGGCGACGCGCCAAACAGTTAGAGAATCGATTTTCTCGAAAAGGAAACGCGGTAGGAAAAAAATACACTCTACATTTTTTATTTATTTTTACGGGTAAAGTGCCGTTTACGTGTCTTTTTTGTACCACGCATCGTGGAATGTCCTGTGACGCGCGTGGTCCGCGAAATCGGAAGAGAAATCGAGCAGTGAAATGAGACGCAGTTCGATAAAATGATTCTCGACAGAATCGTGCCGAGAAACGTTAATCCAAGAGGAATACAATTCCCGAAATAACAAATTAGACAGCGTCTCGGGATATCGTTACCGCAATCGCCTAATATTTGCGCGCTGTGTTTGCCCAATTCTGGCGAATTATCAGCAGCTGCGGGTATCAGACAAATGTGTTTCTCTTCTTGAAAATACCCATGTCGAAATGTTGTTCCAGGGAGATGTTTTGCGCGATTTTTCGTCGCTCCCCGCTTTCATGCAAATTAACGCGAACGCCTTTCGCACAGACGACCTTTCGCTCGGCAGAAGGTTCTTGATCGTCGGTATGAATCGGAAACCGGTATCTCCAGGAAAATTACAGGCGAGAAAATACGACGATCCGAGTGTCCCTTAAGCCACTTCGATGAATAAGAAACATCGACGTTAATACAAACTTTTATTAAGTCCTTAAGGCCCTCATTTGCCTACACAAAATAGTCCATTGGGAATTATTCGAATATTTAATCGAGAATTTAAATTCGTACATCCTTAATAAAATGTCTCCATGAAACTACTTCTAATAAAATGCAACAACCTTGATTTATAGCTTACATCACACTGTTCAAATAATTTAGTATTCAAACTGTATTCGTAGAGAATCGCTAAAATCTTCGAATATACGAATAACAGAGGAATTCGAGAAGTCTTGGCCTTAATTCGGATTGGCACGCATATATCCCATACGCTAAAAATTCATCTTCAATGTTCGCGTGATCGAGATAAGGAGTAATGGCATTTTTTGTACATTTACGTGGCTGTAGTGAAAGGTAAATACCTATATCGCGATTATCGAGGAAACGTGGAAGTACTTTTACGATCGCTAACAAATGCAACCGATCTATTTTAAGCGACCATAATCGTGGCTCTTACTTCCATTACCCATTAGCGATACCAAATCGTTTCCTTTGTCGAAATTCTTATTTTTCGTAACCATCGCGCGGCAATGAAACGAAATTTGATACGAGCGAAACTATTTTTAGAACGATCCATTAATGAAAATCTAAATCATTAAAATTTACGAAAAGGAAACAATTTGTACAGTACACAATGAAAAATAAAGTGGAGTCGCTCGAGCAAAAGCGATTGGACGGAGCTCCAATCAGGAAATTTCCGATATCTCGTTTGTTAGATTGCGTTTATAAAAATCTGGTCCCTCGAGGTGATTTCCGTTTCTGAAGCAGTGTTTACACGCAGTCGAACAATCAGCTAGTGATATTAATTGACGTTCAATTAAACGAAATTAATACACTCGCCGACGAGCTATTAATTAACGTCATACAAAGTATCAATGATCCTATATCGACAGACATTTACATTCTATACTAACACTTCCGAAAATATTTATATCGTGCGTGTAGAGGCATTAAAGTAACACCGAATACGTCCAAGTGCATTTGAAAAACTAGACTTTGCGCCGTTCCAGATAATAATTTAAATATTTCACGCTATCGACGAGTGTTTATCTATCTTGGCGTGATTCCGGTCGCGTGAACCGCCCTTAACAGCGAAACAACGTTCCAAACCTGAATGCAATACGCGTTCCCCTACCCGCATTTGGCTTCCACATAACACAGCCGGTATCATCATCAACGGTTAGTTTCACATTCACGTTAATAACCTACGCGATACGGAGTGACTCAATACGGAAAGTATTTCCATCGTGAAATATTCTTGCAAAATGCTCCGACAAAACGTCAAAGTCTACGAAAATATTCAAGGGTTAATCCCCTTATCAATTTGGAAAAATACTCTTTGCACCGACGAGTCCTTGATTAGACTATCTAAATTAAATTAGTCCACGCTTATAAACATCTAAATGGCATGATTATATCTTTCGAGCTACTCTCTTTAACTCTCGAATCTGAATTTCATTATTTCGCATTCCGATACAGAAACGTTGTTAGTTATTACAAAACCAAAACTTCAAGACTATGAAAGGAACAGTTTACATACGAACCTGGAACGCGTTGGATTAACAGGTTATATGGTTTGTTTATACGGATCACATGTTTAACACTTTTATTTCTTCCGCACGACGGTTCTAACCTATCGAAAGTTTTTGTTATATATCATCGTAAAAAGTAAATGAATTTATGTTTCACCGTATAAAACTAGACGTGTCAAAACTTCGCACAGACGACTTTTAATTAAGAGTTCGCTTGCTTTTGTTACTGTATGTACATGCGTGCATAAGACGCGACAAGTGGTCCACCCGTATGCCGTTATGTATAAAACGAATTTCTCGAAAACACTGTCGGGCCAGCATCGCTGCGGGTTGTTTCCGCATGAACCGCGAAAGGGGTCGGCCCTCGGAGCGATAATAAATCCATTCGATGCAATCGAAACGCACCAGATGGAACGGAGCACCGGCTCAATGTGACCGACTTGTTAGATGCGTGCGCGTACACGTGCACCCGATTGCAGTACACTGCGCCGCGATAATGTTGAATTCGAAAAGTACCAAGAAAGAAAATGACACACGCAGACGTTACTAACCAGTGACGAAAGTCGACGGCGTGCAGTTTCGTTCGGCCAGACGATGGGAAGAAATCACCCCGCGGGAATCGGAATAATTGCACAAATATGTATACCTTGAGCGTAACAGAAAGGCCACACCACTGATCGAACGGAGCCCGCACTGTACCATACGACGCACTGTTAGCAACCGAGGCGCCAATGAACATGCAGGAAATCGGAACAGCAAGGATCGATAGCCAACTCCCGTGCACCTACGAATGTGTCGGGCCTCCAATAGGGAAGGTTTCGCGCCCGCGGAACCAAGCTCTTGGCGTAAACTTTCGACAGACAGGTTCGCCCGTTGACCCTCGATCGGTAAAGTGGACTTCCGCAAAGAAAAGACGGAACGATACGTGCGCGTTCACATCCGTCGCGTAAATGCGCGACTGGCCGCACGTGCTGCCGAAGCGGACCTTTCCGATTCTCATTTCTTGGCCAATCAGCGTGGACCACCTGTTACCAGCGTACTGTGCCGGTTCTCCATGAACGCAGCGGCCGCCGTTGCGCGCGCAACCGCTTTTTACCGCGCAATCATAATGGCCGCTTGCCGGTTCGAAGATGCGTCGCACGAAGATCCTTGGCGGACGCTTTTCAATTTTTCAATCGATGCATGCTGTGTGAATGATTTCTGATTATTCTTGGACGATCTACGCTGGTACAGAGGTATGAAAACTACTTGAAACGTTGATATAGGTATATGAAATGCAACATGTCATTGAATTAGCAATATTCTGTACGATGTTATTTCTTAAACGACTTAATCGTGAATCTTCGTTCATATAATCGATTATTTCGCGAATGTTTCTATCAGTTTCAATATATCTTTACAGCGACAGTGAATTGTGTGATGATGAGCGTTTGTGTGCTATGCTGTAATTTTGTGAACGAATGAATGCTGAATGGTGTTTTGCGAGATGGAACCATTTTGTACAATTCTTTGCTTCTGCCTGCCCGTCCTGTCCTTGTTCGAGAATATTTGTAAGTGCAATTAATTACTTACTATGTTTCTCGTTAATCTACAAAAATGGTGATTTTTAATCAAAATCAAATGGGATTGTATAATTATTTCAAAATTTAGGTTCTAATCGATGAATTGCATTTATTAATAACCACATTACATTTGTTGAATTATTTTTATACATTTCATAATGTAAAGGATAAACTCTCAACATATGCGATAAGCTCAATTTTCATAGTTAAAATTTTCAATTGCCAACTGGGGACTATGTTGGAAAGCTTATAAGAAATACAAACGTAATTCTTATGAACGTTGCATGAATATTATAAAAAATATACATTTAGTTAATCACTCTTCATAAAATTTAAATATACCATGGAATAGAAATGTTACTTTGCTTGCATACATACAGGACTCTGTTACTTACATTTCTAAAGTAATGGTTTTCATTTTTTATGTATGATATGGGCAATATTTGTAATCTGATACATAATTAAATTTGATATCTAATTATTAGGGGACGTAGCAGTAATATTGTTGGAAGTTACTACTGTTTTTGAAGCAACAGCAGATATTTCCACAATATTTACAACACAGCCTATTTCATAGCATTTTAATTGCAAAAATCCCTTTTTTGCATGCATAGTTCATTTCTGCTGTTAAACTAAATTTGAAATTCACTGTACGAGTGATTCAAGCAGCGAATACATGATATAATGTTTTTTTTGTGTTCTATCGTTTAACATCAAACGAATTAACATTCTGATTACAACTTGTTCGTAAGCAAGTTTTTATATAGGAATGACTAAATTTAGATACTCGTTTGTTGTTCAAAGTTGTGATATATTATTCAGTGTTTAAGTCATATAGTTTATGCTTGTACCATTAAAGTCTAGAAAAATAATTCTCTTTGTTACAAGATAAATTTTGAAGCAACTTCTTTATTTGAAGATTATTGTACATCATGTCACTATTGTGCCCATGCCAGTAAAAAAATTATATTTTTACCAATCATAGTTTATCTTGTCCGAACCTCTATATTCATACTTTTTTTTATCAGGTACAATACAAGGCTGAACAAAACGATTATGTAATCTTGTTCTTGATAAACTTTTGAAAGGATACATTTGTAACTTTTCCAACCTCTCTTCCTTTGTATATCTCATGTTTTTTTTCTTTTTTTTTTTCTTTTGATAATATGGATAATATATTCCATTATAGTATTATAAAATATCGTAAATAAAATCTCCTTGATGAACTTAAACACAAGCATTGTGCAACAGATACATAAAACGTCGAGAAATACACCCTTTCCTTTCAAAAATTATTTGCTATGTATAATCGAAATTCAATAGCTTTTTCTTTTTACCTTGGTACGTCAGAAAAAAATATTTATACCAAGTATACCATTCTGGGCGTTCATAATCCTAATCATGTAATTCTTGAGAAAATAATGGTTCGATTGCTTTTCTCTTTCGTATTAGAAAACGTATAACCCTTTGAAGGAAAAAAAAAAAAAAAGAACAAAAAAGGGAAAGAACGGAGAAAGTACAACAATCATTTTATGCGATATCTGGCGCATAATGAGCGTTGAAAATAATAATAAACATTTAGAACTCTTTCTTCAGAGCAGATCTTAGCAATGCGCTGCGCATCGACGTCACAAGTTTCTCGAGTTCCTCGACCTTCATTTTCAATATTCGATTATCTCTTTCCAATTCCATTGCTTTCATAGTCATCTCGCACTCTTTCGCTTTTTTGTTCATACGTGACTTTCGTGAAGCTTCATTGTTCTTTTCTCTAGACTCTCTATAATGCGAGCCGTACGTTTGATCGCTCGACGAATCGGTTTCGGTGTCGCGTCTTCTATCCGGCCTCGATCGTTTCGCTATTCTATTGTAAGTTTTCTCCCCTCTACTGGTAACAGCTGCCCTTTTTCTTTCGGATCTTCGCGAAGATACCGTGGATGTCTCTTCCGTAGTAGGCAAAATTAAAGTTGGCGCTACTCGGCTTTGTATGTCCGACTCGTTTTCGGTTTTCATCTCCTCGTAAGCGACCGGAACTACTGTCGTGGGTGATTTAGCGAGGGACACGATCGAACCATCTATCGAGACACTGCCTTCCGGTGAACTAACTTCATCCTGTAACACATACACGGACGGTTCAAGACTCAAACAATGATATTCGAATATTTAGAAAATATTGGAACGGATCCAGCTCTATTTATAATAAAAAGATTTTCGAACAGGCAACACGCTGGGTAGTTTCTCGCGTTAATTATCTGTAGAGACTCACATCGCAAAGGTACGACAACAAATCGAAGGATTCCGATCCCGTGGTCTCGACCGATTGCAACACGTCCCACGTTTCTCGCTGATTTTCTGCAGAACCGAAAGAAGTCGGACACGCATTATTCAAATTGATGTTTTCTATCTTACACCTGGCTTGGAATGGTATACTAGCATCTGTATCATTCTGTTTGTTCCATGAAGTTACGTTTGCGTTTGATGTTATAGTAGGTGGTGTTCGTTTCGATAGCTTCAACCACAAATTGGATGTATCAGAGCCTGCAGTACTATCTTTTTTGTCGCATTTGCTAGTTACTTTTGATGTAGATTGTAAGCTGTGACAATTATTGTTCGTATGTTCGGTTGACCCGTTCATTTTTATGCTCCACTTGTCTTCGTCCGCTACACTTATCAAATCTTTCAATACCCCCTCCTCTGAAGCCAAAGCACTGTTACCCTCGTCTTTTGTACCTGGAAAATACGATTACAGGGAAAATAAAATACAACCCTTCTACGATTGATCGTGATTAGGCATGTTTGGTACGTACCTGATAGTTTAAAAATAGGTGATTCACCTATATGAAAATCGCATTGACCCTGGAATGTATCCATACACCAGCCGCTTAAATCCTGAAAGTTTTCCTCCCAAGCAGACGGCGTTGCTTTCTTCCCTTCTTTTATCGTTAGTTTTGATTGTGGAAATACCCATGGTTCCTTCAGCAATTCTGTTTCCATGGTTGGTGACAATAAGGGGACTGTGTCCATTTTTGAAGATTCTCCCTCCGGCGGCTCCAATCTCACGCCACGAAAAACAGATGACAGATGCGGCTGACGGTTGCATGGCTTCGATACCTGTAAATTCTTTTCACTTTAGAGTTTGTCCACCCACTGTCTCACCTCTTAAGTTGGTGTACATTTCTAAATACTCACGTTAAACTCGCCTCTCTTCTCAAATGAAATGTTGCTGGCCGTTGGGCGTTCGTAAATAGGAGGGATTTTGGATACCTATAACAAAAATTATAATTTTAGATATATCGAATATTTATTAGCGTAATCCGGGCCACAATATAGCGGTTCAGCTCCCGAAACAAATGAATTGACAGAAATACGAGCAGCTAAGGGCTTTAGATCATAGTCAGGGCCCTACGAAGAAATGTTTTATCTAGTGTCGCCATTTTTAGAGGTATCGTAACAGGTAAAGGTCTTACTCAAGTCTTTAATATCTTAGTTTACCTGCTTATAATATATGCATGTAGAAAATGAAAACAGATAGTGCAGTTATGGGCATAGAAAGACATTCAGAAAGTGCCGCAGCAGGAGTCGGTCCCAACTCTCAAGAGTTTGGTTTACGACCTCGTTATATTGTGGCCCGGACTATACCTAGTATCTATTTTCAACTACTTCTTAAGTTGATATAATACATAGTAAATAACACATTGAGCGCCGGCACCAGCAGCATGTAAAAATTTTTTATATTTTATAATGTTACCATTGGACTCAATATATGTATAATTTAAATGCGTTAAACATTGAACAATTTAAAAGAAGCAATACTGTTACACATTATCGCGGGGCCAGCGCTCAAGCGATAGACTCAGGAACCCCCTTTTTCGCGGGCCCGACGCTCAAGCGACAGACTCGGGGAATCCCGCGTTTTCGCGGGGCCGGGCGCTCAATGTGTTGAATCGAGTGAAATATTACTTTCTGGTACAAGTATACCGACAAGAAATGCTGTTAATTCCTTCCTATCATGTTTAATTACTGACTAACAATATGAATGCTAATTAATCATGATAACAGTATACACATTTGTCAGAAAAGATAATATCTCATATATTAAAGAGATCGTATGAATACCATTAAATATGGCATTAAGATCCTTATCAACTACAGTCAAGACTAAGTTTAATGTAGATAATACGTTTATTGAAAAACAGAATTTATGCAGACGTAAACAATAAATTTAGAGTTACGTGTGAAGTATACCATGTCAAGGCCACTCGTCGCATAAAAAATTAAATAAATCTGACACCTGAAATGGAAATAAAGCGTTTTATCACAGGAGTATAATCAAGTGCATTTTTTAAATTGTTTTTTGCAATTATGACTGTAACAGTTTTCCTTTAAACATACGATGTTTATGTATGGAAGTAGAGTGTATCTACAACCTGTCTGGTCTACGTATCTCGAGCACAAGATATTTTTGGGATGGAAAGCGGGAGTGTACTCCAAAAAGTTTGAAAATACAGGGAGGTCGTAAATTGTTGACATGCAGTCACTAGAATGTAGTACGATAGATAGAATTTCGAAAAAGTGTTAATTTAGATAATTGTAGCGTAGTTTATCATAAAAGTGTGAAGGGTTCCATATTTGAACAAAAATTATTTCAAGTACAACAAAATTGAAAATTCAAGATTTTTTTAATAGCATTAAAGGACATTGGTGGGGGAAAAAGTTGCGAAAAAGGTAATAAAAATCGAAGAATAAACTAAAAAGAAGTGGAAGGAAAACTCACGAAAAATTTCATTCGATCATGGAGATCGAATTTGATTATACTGATTATACTGATTATTCTATGTATCACGTTACATTGTACCAACTACACGAAAACAATTTAATTTGTAGGCTTGGCTATATCTTGGATCTTACTATATTAAGAGTTGATATCAAGTACTTGAAATTTTCGTACGTTTCGATACCTTGTTTGGTATTTTTGAATCGAAATTCCTGGAACACCTATCGTATCAGTCCCACTACTAAACCGTCCACGCCGTATCGCTCACCGACCGCGTTCGTAAACGCAGCGACCACGTTTTATCGAGCAACCGTCTCGGTTTCCAATGTTTCTTATCGATCGGGAAAGCGACCGCGCGCACACGTCGAGTAACGTAACTAAACGTCGCTATCTAACCTCGTTATGTAACGCGTAGCTTAACAGCATGCGACTGAATTTTTGCAAACCGGCTTTACATACGTTACACCATACGTTTCGATCGACCCACGATATTCGTCCGGAGAGCACACAAAAATCGTCGTCGTCGCGTTCAATATATACCGTTCGATTGGAAATTTCTGGACTGCTATATTTACACGACACGAAATATGTATATGCAGGCTCGTGGTCGGTGCGACGTTCGATCGATCCTAGCCACGATGCGCAGTGTAATTTTCGTGCATTGCCAGCCGTTTCGACAAACGACGGAATTAAACTCGACGGTTATATAATCTATTCGGCTATAGCCACGAGTAGAACCACACACAGGTATAGAGGCACGACGATTCAACGAATTTACGTTTGCGTATAATTCACTCACCCTCCTTGAAACGATCCGTGTTATCGTACCTTCCACTTGGAACACGAGAACTGCTTCGTACAATTACGATCGACTATTCGTTCACAGATGAGCTTTCTATTAGAACGATTCTCGCAACGTGACCGACGTACTGATCGATGGTACCAACTCCTCGGATCTTCTTCGCGGAATGCGAGCCTGGAACGTCGTCAGTGCCGGGATTGAACACGTCACGAGACAAATACTCACGCGCACTAAACTGGTCACTACTCGTGCTCTCGTTTACGTCACTTTCGGCCAATCGGCGCCACCTGAGGTCACCGTCGACCAATAGCCGCCACGCGACGCCCATTGAACAGAACGTAACGAGCTACACGCGAAATTTGAGTCGCAGCGACTCGTTTCCAGTCGATAAACGTTATCCTTTCTTTTTTTTCTACGCTCACGACCCACCCGACGATGCAAATTTTTGGAGTTATTGCGCAACCAGTTTCTCCGGGATTCCCAGTTAATTAACGGACTCTCTTTTCTGGTTAAGATCGAGGATTTTCCGTAGGAAGAGATTCCAACCTTTCTGGCGGCATGCGGACGTTGAAGCTCGTATGTTGAAACGTATGTACGTCGCAAGGACGATGGAACGATAAAAGATTACGTGACGATACATCGATTACGGAAGAATGCTGAGGCGATTTTTTTGTTTTTGTGGAATGTGCGGCGGCTCGGAATCGAGCGCATTAATAATGAATCACGCGGTGTTATCGTTTGAGCGTATCGTTGTAAAGAATTGAGCGCGTGGCGTTGCTAGATGGAGCTAACGGCACTCGTTACTTACACGCCAATATAAATCGAGTACCGCGCAAATGTACGGGGTTCTCTATTTGCATAGAATTTTAACGACTGAAGTTTCTTGCATCAGCCACTGTTGACATTTCTTTCTTTTTCAACGCGTATCACACAAGAACAGCTAAATATGTATATCAAATGCCTGGCCAATTTAGAAATCCCACATAAAGTTAGCGTAATTTATCGTGGTCAGTGTATGATGAAACACTGGCACGATTAGCGTTAAATAGCAGACAACGAACGGAATAATTTATTGCTTCGGTTTATTTTTAACCTTCGCGTAAAAATTTTTCTACGTACGTGTGCGTGTATTTGATTATTGAAACAGCGAACGTTTCTATCGACTAAACAATAACAGTTCAGCAAAATGTCGTTTACAATTTGATATGTTAATCAACGAAAAGAAAAGACAAAATGGCACAAAAAAAACATGGTAATTAATTAGTTAGAAATGGAATAAAGTTAAATACGAACGTTTGCGATGGATAAAAAAGATTCTATGGATTTGAAGGATCGCATCGAGGTACAGCAACGATTATTGCTATTTTAAAATAGCAACGAAAATAATAAGTAGTATTACTTTTTCAGTTACTGTTGAAAATAATGACAAACGGATGCGCAGAAGGTGCATATATAAAATAGTATTCTTAGATTCTCGGTGAAATGAACAAATTTTAATTGCAACAAATTTATTTAAGATTCTAAAAACGTCACGGGTTCAGGCTATGTTATCACCTCCGAGGAATCGGATTCGGATAGCGAATCGGACGATCCACTTTCCTCGGATTCGAACGAAAACGAAAACGAAGACTGTTCTGATATTAAAGTACGTTTAAATAAATTCTTCGAGGATCATGTGGAGAAAACGGAGAAACACTTACCTTCGAACGTAGCCTCTAATGCTGGAAACGATTTCCAATTCGAAGAAAAAATGTACAGAGTTATTCCGATATGGATAGACAAGAAAGTATCTAAATCAAAGAACTCGAATGAATAATGGTGTGTCGAAGCTGCGCGAAGGCAGCGTTGAACAAGGTATTATCGAAATACATTTTATTAATAAAAAAAGAAAACAACCGTTTGTTAAAGTTTTTACAATATAAAGTGGAAAACAGCGTCGTAGGCATACTCGAATGTACATTAGCGTTATTCTCGAATGGTTCCTGCTGATTTTTATTCCTTCTGAAATGCTGACTATAGTTGCGTAAAAAAATCGACTGCTCAGGGTCACGTTTCCGGCAGTAACTCGCGCCAGACGCATCTTCCACTTTTACATTGCGTCGGAGCGGGGGTCTGGCGGACGTCAATGGTGGGGGGCAGCGCCTCCGGTGGCCCTGAGCGACCAATTTAATTTCCATTCGTCCGTGGACCAATAAATCTATCAGAACACATACGTTCGCGACATGCAACGTCTGGAACGCGGCATAAAATTTAAATCCTATATGTTTCTTTCGTTTCATCGGGTGCATTGCGTCATTGCGCGCCTACGCGACATTATTTTACAGCGTGTGATACATATCTATAGTAACAAAATATAAATTCGCTTATGTATAGGCGTATTAACATACATGCACACACAGGTTCCTCTCGTTCGCACCGTTAATCGTAGAAGTTAATTAATAGAAATAGTCCTTAACGGCTAGGTGGTATTAAATTACAAAAAATTACAACCTCGCGCGTAGTCTTTTCATGTTTTCATTTTTTTGTTTTAATCCGTGGCTCTCGTTGATCGACCGACGGGTGCCGAAACAACGATCGGTTTGATCGTCGTTCCAGGACTCGATTGTTTCACCGTCGATTAACGCACGCCCCCTCGTATTGTGCTCGCCGAGCATCAGTCCGGGGAGATTAGCCGCGGTGTTTGACTCGGTATCAGTTCGACAAACGTCCGCGAATCTTCGTAAGACGCGCCACTGGTACGATCTTCGTCTCGGGAATAATAAATAATTATTGGATTCGACGATGGAGCAACATTCCCCGTTGCTGTTGCGTGTCAGGGACGTCGACAGTGTTTTTATTTTATATTCTACGCTGGTAGAACGTCGAATGCTCTTCGCGGTCACTGGCCCTCGCTATCACTGTCGCTTTTGTCTGCAAAAATGTTTGTCGGTGTCATTTCTTTTATATACCGGGTGTCCAATTCAACTTATCCCTGAGATGGGGCGTATTAACCCTTTCGCTGCGATTTCACGCTGCGCGGCAGGAGAACAGCGAACGGCTGCAGAAATTCTCGTATATTTCGCGGGTATTCGAATGCTTCGGGCAATGTTACGTCATATGTACTGTCGACAACGACATCCTATCAACTGAATAAAAAGATAAAAATAGTAGATCTAATATAAATTTACAGATGTATCTGTACCAGAGTTGGCCGTCGTTCGAACAACTTCGAATTTTATCTAGGTAATTCGTGTATAAATGTATTATCTAGATAATCCTTGATCGATCGTTACTCACGGCGTACGTCCGTCACAAATACAAGCTTGTCCAGGCAAACTTTTATTCGTGATCAGCGGCGGATTAAAATTTATGCAACAGATCTTTTAACTAGATAAAAACACGTCCAACTCTGATCTGTACATCCTTCGTAAAATGAACGTCGCTTGTGGAGGGCGTACGTATACGTCCTTCGCAAATGAGCGTCAACTTATTGAGGCCGTATGTATACGGCCTTAGCAGCGAAAGGATTAATTCTTTCGATGCTAAGATCGTTGTTGTTGATCGTACACCATACGCGGGACACTTATGCTCACAGAGGCCAGCTATATCAGGTGAACGCATACTTTGAGTGCACACGTGGATGAAAATGTTCGGAAATTTTGCAAATTGTTTAAAGCAGGAATGAGAGAAGTTTTCTAGATAGAATGCGAGTGAAATAGCAATGTCTGAATGCTTATTCGAAAGAACTACCAACCTTTCTTGCCAGGATACGCGTGACGCTTCAGTCTGTCGTACAAATCGTCTTTCGTGCCGTATATACTGGCGTTGGAACGAGCGAGACTGTTCATTTTACCATTGTGTAAACTCTCTGAAAAGTGGAAAGTCTCGTTAACACTCTCAGTTTTCGTGATTTGCGTTTCGCGTTGCTTACCTTTCATGTAAGTCTCATTGTAAAAGTTGGGCATTTCCCAACCGTCCTCTTCGTCGTCGTAATAGTGCGCGTAAGTGCTGTGATGTGACGGTGCTATGGACTCCGCGTACGGCGTGGGAGCACCGTAATAGAAGTTGACTTGCGACCCGTTTTGATCGGTCGCTGGAGTGAGCATCTTCTTGGGCTCCTTCTTTCGAGAAGCTCTGTAGAAACAATTTCGTTGTTTCACGACAAACGAAGTCCCTTCAAGAACAAGAAGAATAAAGTATACTGACCTGACGCAGATCATCCACACCAACAGAACAACGAATATGATCAAGATAACACCACCAGCGATGCCACCCGTGATGTAGAAGAACTCGGATTTCTCAGTGCACCGTTTTCCAGTGAAGCTACCGCTGCATCTACACGATGGTTGTCCTCGCGAGTCCTTCAAGCACACCCCCTCGTTGTCACAGTAGCCCATGCAGACGTCCGTGCATTCGGTACCAGTTCCGTTGTAACCTGGCTTGCACTCGCACTTGAAGTCGCTGGTTTCGGGTATCAGCAGACAGTACGCGTTCGCGTCGCAGTGCATCTCAGCGTCGCTGGTTTCGCATGGGTTGGTACAGTCAGCTTTGTTCGTCTAATTGGAACAGAGAAACTGGCATTAGAAACCGTACGAGAAGAATTTTGCTGTGCGGCGGTTATATGTATAAGAGAAAGTTGTTCAGAATCTTATTTTCTACAACATATTTCAAAATCATTAAAATCGTAGTGCAGGTCCCCTGAAGTAAATAATTACCGAAGTCTTTAAAGTGATAGAAAAAGGAGAGAAACTCGAGGCATTTACCGCTGATGTTCCTTTGGTGCTGGTATTGGGTGGACAGGGTATGCAGAAGGTCTGCTGAGGCTCCGACTGATAGGTTCCCTTCTTGCACTCCATGCATTCGTTCAGGGTTCCGTTCAGATAAGTTCCCGGATCGCAGACGGGAAGGGAGCACTCCTCGATGGCCGCTGAGCCCATGTTTGGCGTCGTCCTGCCCACAGGGCACGCCTGGCAAGCAGCCTGAACCCCTTGGGTGCGATAGCTTCCGCGTGGGCAAGGCTCGCACTTGCCTTCGACGGCCAGCTGCTGCCCAGAGCCGCATTCGTCTCTGCATTCCTCGCGGGACACCGCCTCGGGTGTCCTGGTGGTCTTGCCCAGGCCACACAGCAAGCAGGAGAAGCTGCCTTCGTTGGGCTGATAGAAACCGTGGCCGCAGCTTCGACAGAGCCCAGCCACGTCGTCGTAATACTTTCCAGCTGGGCAGCGCTCTTTGCAGTCGGCTGCACTTCTGGCGCCTGGCCCGACCGTCACGCTAGGGCGTCCGGCTATCACGGGACAGGAACTGCACTTCAGTTGCCCTGACTCGCTTTGGTAGCTTCCCACTGGGCAGGACAGGCACTGCTTCGTTTCTTCGTCGTAGTACGTTCCCACGGCGCAAGGCACTACAAACGAGATGGAAACGAAGTTATTCTATGCGTACCAGTGAATTTGAACATTCCACAAAGTTAATTTACCCCAGAAGAAGAGTTACTTCTCTCGTGTTCGAAGAAATCTTTTGTGATTAAATGCTTACCGCAATCTGGCGCCATAACGACCTGTCCCACTGGGCAGTCATAGTCAGATTCAAGAATCAGTGATGCTGGATCAGGTACAGTGTTCGGCAAGATGTAGTGAACGTCGAATTGATCTTCCTCCAGGATCAGTCTCTCCAATAAGGCCTGGACGGTCGCCCTCTCGTTCGAGTTAGCGTTCAAAATCGGATCGCTATAAAATACAGAGGACTGTTAACGAACTGGGAATCGATAGATCGTATGTTTTAGCGATAGGTGAAGGAGAGTATGCGCAAATATATACAGCCGTTATCTTAAGGCGAAGGTAACCAGGCAGCCTTTCCATTGGATCCTCAGCAAGACGCAACCTTATCGACACCTATTAATTATGTACCTACGTAATGCTTAATGCTCAAGACGTCCTGGAATTCTAATATACAACATGGACGACGTCAAGCGTCATTGTAGCTTTTCTGTTATATCGACAACCTAAGCTGTTTGGTATCGATGAATCAGAGAGTACCCGTGGATTCATGAAGGTATTCGAGCCTGATGGAAATGGTCATCAGTGCTCGTAAAATGTCGTTAACCCAACAGCTTGGTTTCCAGTCAGGTGTTACGCCGTTACGTTGTTATTTCACTATCTTATCGTTGGTACCTACTTAAGTACCCATATGAATATGTCCCATTTACACTAATCGGTCGTGTATGAACAGTTAGTAAACAACGTGAATACCAATCGGTTAGGGTCGACTTTATCTTTGTTCATTTACCCGACAACTTATTTAAATCGACCCTGTTCGAGTTTCTTCTAGTATATGGACACGGAGAAAATTGCTAGTTACTTATGACTCGTTACATTTACGATCTGTTCAGGTTTATAAACAGATCAAACTCAACTGGCTGTTTAAGGCAACCGAGAGACGGCTTTCTCGTTTCTTGAAAGCGAAGATAGGAAACCGGTTAGTGGGGACAGCTTTGACCCGGCAACCTGCGGGGCCAGTTGATTTTGACCCGACCGCAATAAGGTTATGATAGAGTAACATATTTCCTTTTCTCCGTATGCCCCTCATGCATTGCCGTCTAGTATGGTATATTCATGGCCGCGAATGGATTTATAAGAATGTGAGATGATGTCGGATATAACCGGGATGACGAGAACACATGTACAGTGATACGTTTCGCACGTGGCATAAATCGAGCTGTCCTTACTTTATCGCTGGGAACGAGATCTCCACCTCGTAGGTATCGCTGCCTTGCCGCGCTTGTCTCGTTCTACGATGCAACACAAGTAACAAATTGCTCAGTACTAATTTAAGTCTTCGAACGAAGTCTGATTGAAGCTTGTCTGCAAGCTAATGCTAGATAGCTAACTGAGTAATTCTCCCGTCGATAGGAACGTCGGGACTCACTTATGTGACGCAATTTTCAAAATAGAGAAGCGTGTGCAATTTAACGAATCGAAACGTGGATACTTACGGTTCAGCTGGTACTACCGCGGAAATTATGTATGTTCCGCCATCTTCTTCGTTGGTATCTCTGGTGGAGCGTACACGGTGATCGCATTGTACGTCGATGTTAAGATCCTTGCATTCACGAGTTCCTGCGAATATTAAATCAAGATTAAGAATCGAGCAAAGCCTGAGCGATAACGATGACGTACCTTCGTAAGAATACGAACAGAAGTTCCAGTCCCTGTTCAAGGAATTTACAGCATCCCGAACCTTCTTCTTGAGCACTCCTTGACCAGCTTCGTTACATAGAACCGACGTGGGGAAATTCATTTTAATTCTGAATACACGCTGAGCTGCTGTTGCACCTGAGTAAAATAAGAAACGTTGTATACCGAAATAATCAACAACTGGAAAGACAACGTCAGAAGAACAGGGTGTAACATTACTTGTGCAAGCGGGATACACCAACGGAAGAGATGGATCATTGGTTGGTCTCCAGAAGCCTTCTGCTCCACAAGTGTAGAATTTAGGCACCTCTTGAGAGAACCTGAGACCAGTGTTGCAGAAGATTTCACACACTTTGAACTGACCACCGGAGCCCCAATCTTTGCATTGTTGAGTACCTCCAATTGGATCAGCCAATTCAGGACAGAAGTCAGCTAAAGAATAAAACATGATCAATACCGTCCAACTACGCTTCGTTAAAACACCAGGAATAAAAGATGACTTACACAGGACATAAACTTTGAAGTTGCAACTAGCAGAATTACCAGCCTGATCGTAGGCCACGTAGCTGATATCATAGGTACCCCACATCAATGTTTGCCCAGATTTGTGTCCATTTTTCTCTTGAACCTTCACTATGCCGACATTATCGGTAAATCGTGGCTCGTCCCATGTGACAATAGACGAACCGTTCTTGGCGATTACCCAAAGGTCGCCTGGACAGTGTTCGACCTTTGGTGGAATCTTGTCGGACTCCAATTGCTGACACTTGCTGCCACCATAGCCAGGTGGGCACACTCTTTGCCCACAGTGGGATGGTACAACTCTTTCCACGCCTCCAATTGTTTCGTCGTATCCTGCCCAAGTCAACACCAAGTCTTGGTAGAGGACAGGTTCAGTGCGACAGTCGCGTACTTGTTTCTGTATTTCGTTAGTCACGTGCAAGGCTCTACTCCAAATTTGAACCTTGGTTAGATGCCCTTGGAACCCGGATTCGGTGTAGCCCTTTGCGTTTTCGCTTTGTGGTTTCCCTAGAACTGCCCAGGCACTGAAAGAAATTGTGTCAATTAAACACTTACGTGATCACTTTCATTATAAGTCACACCTTCGTTGATTTTTATACATATAGTAAACTCACTAAGCCGGTAGAGATCTGCCACTTCCATATCCCTCGGTTTTACTGGCAATTAATCCTTCTGTGATGAGAACTAATTCACCGCCATTTTCGCCGTTCCAAACTACAGCAACGTGATGCCACTGACCGTCGTTGATCGTCGCGTATTCTCTAAACGGTAGATAAACGTCTTGCAGATCATGGAACAAGGATACTTGGACACCGTTACTGTGTGCTTGGACCATGAGTCTGCGGTTTATCGGGACATGAGGCGAGCTGTACACGAAACAGTTCGCAATTAGAACGCAACATATCAATAGTTTTGATTCCAATTGTTATTGAGTACTTACCTCACGGCATAAAGGGTGAAGAATATTCCAGCCTCATCTTTTTGGGTGTACTGTACCCACATAGCTACGGTTAGGCTCTTCCTTCCTCCGGTGAAGAAAGGAATTACTTGGGCGGCGCTGCTACGCGCTGGGTCGCTGAAGTATAAGTCGTAATCCACTTGGATTGCTGTAAAAATGTGATTAATTGTGTGTTACCCAAAGTGAAATTGTTATTACAAGAAGCACGATACTTACATTTTCTACAATCGTCGCCAGTTAAGTTGAACGGACATTGGCAGAAGAATTTGCCAGTGAGATCGATGCACGTTGCTGATGGAGGACACGAGTTCTCTTTGCAATCGATTATGTCCTCTTCGCAAGTTTTGCCTGTATATCCAGGCGGACAAACGCAAGCGAATCCAGGACCATCGTCGACGCAGGTGGCTCCATTTTTGCAAGCACCAGCTTGGCAGGCATCGTACTCGTATTGACACCCGATTCCAGTGTAGTCATCTGGACACGTGCAATTGAGTCCCGAGCCAAAATCTTGGCAACGTCCATTGTGCATGCATGGGTTACCGATGCAACGCTCCGGTGCAGTCTCGCATTGCTTTCCGTCGGTTCCTGACGGACATCTAGAACATTCAAGACAGGATTGTAAACAAAGGGCCATTTGTTTATTAAACAACGAGCTACCTTATGTCATTGCAATACTTACACGCAGAAGTAATCCATGAACAAGTCAACGCACGCAGCGTCGTTTTGGCAAGGGTGGTTCTGGCACATTCCAACGTCGATCTCGCAGTGAACACCGTTCCAGCCTTCTGGGCACATGCACTTGAATCCGCCAACCTCGTCTCTGCATGTAGCTCCGTTCAAACAAGGACCAGAGCTACAATCGTCGATGTTGATCTCGCACGCAGCGCCAGTGTAGCCTTCGCGACAGTGGCACACGAACGTGTTGTCAAGATCAACGCAACGATCCGTTCCGACAGGGCTGCAAGGATCGCTGAGACATTCGTCCAGCTCAGCCTCGCATTGGAGCCCAACGAAACCTGGCCTGCATTTGCAAACGAACCCTTCCAATTGATCTAAACAAGTTCCTCCGTTCTGACATGGTTCCGAGGAACAGTCGTCGATCGTGTGTTGGCACTGTTTGCCCGTGTACCCTGGTTCACATGTGCAAGTGAATCCGTCTACTTGGTCGATGCATTGGCCATTGTTGCGGCACGGTTTGTTGGAGCATTCGTTGATGTTTGTCTCGCAAGCTGAGCCAGTCCATCCAGGATGGCAGATGCATTCGTGGCTGAACAAGTTATCCACGCAGATACCGTTCAAGCAAGGATTGCCCGAGCACAAGTCGATCTTCTCGTGGCATCGTTTGCCGGTGAATCCAGGCAGACAGTCGCAGCTGAAGTCGGCCACCAGGTCGGTGCAGTTGGCTCCTAGCAAACAGGGTTTCTCCGCGCAATCGTCGGTGTTGATCTCGCAGCTCTGACCTTCCCATCCTGGCACACAGTCGCATTTGTAGCGACCTTGTTGCAGGGCCACGCAAGTCGCGCCGTTGTTGCAAGGATTCCCGCTCGCCGTGCAAGGATTTATCTGCAATTACAACATAGTGTTACGAATAGTTAAGATACGCGATACTTCGAACGATAGATAAACTTACAGTGATGTCGCAATCGACGCCAGTGTATCCAGACCTGCACAGGCACGTGTAGTTGCTGAAACCGGGCTCGTCTTTGCACATCGCCCTTTCAGGGCAAGTGTCGTTCGTGCAATCGGACTTTTCTTCTTGGCAATTGATTCCGGAGTACCCATTGGCGCATTGGCACCTATACCCCTGCGGCAAGTCTATGCAAGTGGCGCCATTGTAACACGGTTGAGACGCGCATTCGTCGATATCGATTTCACAACGCCTTCCTGAGAATCCGGCAGGGCACAGACACTGAACACCGTGGCCTATGGGCACGCACAAGCCTCCATGCTGGCATACACTGTCGGTACACTGCACCGGCTTGCACTCTTCGCGACCAAGCGCGCCTGGTCCGTCGGTGTACATATTCGTCGGACACTCGACGCACGTCGTCGCTCCGTGTTGCGGCTGGAAGAAGTCTTTTGGACACTGAGCACACGGGGCCAGTCCTGTGTCGGAGTACATGCCTGGAGAACACTTTGCCCTGCATCGATCGCGCCCTGGCGCGGCTGGTTGATAGGTGAACGTTCCGGCTGGACAGGTCTGACAGTCCTTGTATCCACCGATCGGTGGCTCGCCGGTGTAACTGTTCCTAGGACACTCCAGACACGGTACTAGACCAGTTGGAGAATATGTACCGTATCCACAAACCGGTATGCAGTCGTCTATGCTCTTCGAACCCTCCTCCCTTGTGTATGTTCCAAATGGACACCGCAGACAGGAACCCTGACGATCGCTGTTCTGATAGAAACCTTTGGGACACGATGTGCACTGCTTTTGCTTTTCTCCGGCGAATGTGCCAGCTGGACAATGCACTGCAATGGAAAATATTTCGTTTAATCTCGTACAATACTGGAATATTACGCAATTACGATCGATTACTCACAACATCGTGGTACATCGTTGGTGTCCATGTTCAAAACCTCGCCAATGCTGCATGTGAAACCCCGCGTGATAGACGACTTCAGAGCCCGAAGTGGTGGGCACTGATTTCCGATAGATGATACGTTCAACAAGGGCTCTATAACTGCGCTAGTGGAAGGAACCGACAGATCGAAAATTAGGTTCAACGTCGAGCCACAAAGATCGTACAGCTGAGGCTGGCGTACAGCAGGAACGACAACGAGAACGAAGTCCATCTGAAATTTATAAATATTTCATGGTTAATGCGATGAGATCGACGGCAAAGATCCTCGCACAAAGTGTGGGTGCTCACCTTCAAGACGTTTTCTTCGAGCAAGTACGGAACAGATCTCACAAACGACACGTTCATGTTTACGTTGACAGCAGAACAACGTTGAGTCAGGATATTATTCAGGTCCATATAGTATTGAGACATCAGATCCTGGTACTGTGGCAGACAGGACCTCGAAACGGCGCCGTTAGCGCGATAAGTTACCGCCGCGACGACGTGATAGTTTGCCTGTTGAGTGTCTGTTAAACGAGAATTTATTTAAATCTCTAGTCGAATGGCATTTGGAACTGGAGGAAGGAAGACTTACTTTCAGAGACACAGTCGGGGACAACGGAAGCTGGAGTCCAATGCTTGTTGACGTCACAGGTGAACGTCTTTACGGGAGCACCATCGGTGAACCTGAAACCGTTCTTGCAAGTTGCTATGCACTGTTGACCTTTGTCACCAGGAACGCATTTCAGTCCTCCGTTGGCCGGTGGTTTCAACTCCCAGTCCACGCATGGCGTTGCTTGCACCGACACTTGGAAATGGCAGGATGCTCTGTTGCCGCTCGCGTCCGTTGCGTAAACCGTTACATTTTCGAAGCTGCCGATCGGTATCACCGCTCTTTCCGGCGCAAACGTGATCTTCACTGGACCAGAAGGATCAGTGGCGTTGATTCGCCTTCGAGTCTCGTTGAAATTGACCGTGTAACTCTCCTGCTTGTCGACTAGCTCGATCACGTAACTCTGCGGGCAGCTGAGCTTCGGTGGTGTTACGTCTGCAAATGGTGTTACAGTGTTACAGTGATAAGTGAATATTATTCTTATGAATTGAAGTGAGAAACCAGGTGGTATACAGACCAGGAACGGTGATGTTGATCTCGCAAATGGCAACGTTCCCGTCGTAATCGAACGCCACGTATTTAACCACGGTATCTTCGAACACGCGTAATGGCGTCCTGAAACTACGAGGCTTTACTTCCAGACGCGCGATGCTACCGCTGTTGTCGATGGCTGTTGGTTCAGTGAAGTTCACGGGCAACAACCCGCCATCGGCTCCCTTCTGCACCACTATCGGTTGTTGAGGGCAATTTTGGAACACAGGAGGCTCGTTGTCAACGCAAGGGGAGAAACCATAATCGTAGCCCAACAACGGTTCCGCCACGGGTTCCTCGCACCCCATCAACTCGAACTTCAAACAAGCGGTGTCCATGTAACTGACGATACCCAAGATCACAAAGCGCGCTTGGACGTATTTGGGTAAAGTGATCATCGCTAGTTCGCCGTAGTTTCCAGGATCTCGCATCGTCAGGTTGAAATTGGGGAAGTAGACCACGTAATTCTCCACCTCGGCTTGCTTGTAGAAGAACCTGATCTCCGTTGGTCTTCCAACGATGTCGTTCGTCACCACGCCTTTAACCAAGATCGCCTTCACTCTGAATACCTGGCCCAAATCGACGCTAACATAAGTGAACGCCTCCTGCTTGCCGCACCAGCCTGTCACCGAGTTCAGGCGAACGTTTTTCGCTTCATAGTTTGGTTTCTCAGAGGTGGCGTTGATGGCAGAGTCTGGTATGCGCCCGGAGGCTAATCCTAGAGGTTTCACGACTTTGCATTCTGGCTCCCGGACGCAGACGATAGGCCTTGGATTAATGAGGATGTATCCTGGTCTGCTGCAGCCGAACTGAACCTCGGATCCTTGCTCGTAGCTCCTGGCTACTTGGTAGCCGTCGCTTGGTCGACCAGGGTCTTCGCAAACGGGACCTTCGCATCGTAGATTGCCAAAGTCCCAAATACCATTCGCTTGACACCTGACGACGTTATCGTGATGATTCGTTTGACCAGCCAGTTTGAACGTGTCTTGACAACCGAAGTAGAATGATGACTGGTATTTGGTATCGAGATACTGGCCGTACTCGGCCCCAGGAGTAGGCAAAGGCTTTCCACAGTCAGCTCGAGGACAGGCTGGCTGCGATCCCGAGAGCCAGTATTCTGGTAAACCAGGTTTCGGATCGTAGACGCATTGACGGAAGCCTGAAGTGGCTGTGTTCCTCAGATATCGTCCATTACTGCCGCACTTCAGCGTGACGTTTTGCTTGAAGGGTACCAGGACACTTGCTTCGTCGGTACGGAGCACCGACAGACCCTCGTTTTTGTCGTCTGGTAGAGACACACACTTTGCATCTGGAGAGATTTATAACCATTAGTGACCTGTCAGATATAAATTACTTCGACTGCAATTGGTTACTTACACTGACACTCTGGTGTGGTTCCATTCCAAGCTCCACTAGAAGTACACACGACAGCCGAGGAACCGGACAACACGTAACCAAAATTACATTGAAATTTGACTAGGTCGCCAAAGTGATGCTGTTGCTATAAACAAAATCATAATAACAGTCATAATGGCGTTACTTAGAGTGTGTATATTAGATACATACCTTAGTCGACAAGAGTTTGCCATTTTCCGGCACCGATATGGATGGACACATAACCGGCACGCAAGTCTTGTTCTTCTGATACAAATCACCATCTCTATCGCCAGTTTCGTACTTTTCGATGTTAAATCCGGCTGTCCCGTTGCTCTTGTACAACTCGAAACCCGTGTTGCACATGCAGGCGTAGCTGCCAGGGTTGTTGATGCACTTTTGGTGGCAGCCGCCATTGTTGATGGCGCACTCGTTGATGTCGGTGCACTCCAGGCGAGTACATCCCATTATTTCGAGCTTCATGCAAGGCGCGCCGACGTAGTCCTGTATCCTGAACCTTATGAAGCGTGCTTCGATGGACACTGGCAGATTCAAGACGGAAAGAATAGGCGCCTGTATCCTGAACTCTACCGGAGTACCGTCAGGATTCGTGTAGTCTTTGAAGGTGTCTGTCAAGTCGTCCGTGTATTGAATTCGGACTGCTGAAGTGTACGCTATATTGCCATCTACTCTCGCAACGCCTTGCGTTCGGAAACCACGAATGATCGTTGGTGCTTTCATGTCGATCATCACCCAGTTCGTCCCGGGTTCGATGTTATTACCGCACCAGCCATCGCCGTTGTTCAGACGGACACCCTTAAAGTCAAACAGCTGGTTACATCATGTTTCAATTAAATACGAAAGTACTGTTGTATTTGGACTTAATGACTTACAGTCCTGGCGTATCCATTCTCAGAGCTTGAAACGGTAATTGACTCATCGGGGATACCTCCATTAATAAGCCCAAGATCGCCTATAGGCCTGCACTCCATAGTAGGAGCGAAACCTGGCTTGCACTTGCAGGTGAATGCACCAGCGTTGTTTATGCACTCGGTGGAAGCCAAGTCGCACTGACTCGACGCACACTCGTTTATATCTGAAACATCGGAGTCCGCGGATAAAGAAGAATCCAAAATAGGATGGTGAACAGTCGATTCGTACCTTCGCAGGTTGGAACGTTATCGAATCTCTGATCGGGCCCACACTGTATGATGTTGGACCCAGAAAGCTTATAGCCCCTGTTGCATTGCACCCTGGCATCGTCGCCGTACAAGTAGTCCCTGGTTGAATCGACGACGAAACCATTCTTGATCGTAGGCAGTAATGGGCATTTCGCTCCTACACACCAAAGTATCGTCAATCGAAACGAAGCGTCAGATTTTGCAACCAAACACCCTTGAATCTAAATAGATACTCACGAGAACACGTTGGCACCTCGTCGGACCATGTTCCGTTGCTCATGCAGAGAATCACGGGATGTCCGCTTCTGACGTATCCTGGCTCGCATTCGAACCTAACAATCGTTCCGTAACTGCGACCGCCTCCGTTCAGAATAGTAATGTTCGAGTGGGGGGCCTCCGGAAGCGGGGAACATTGAGATGCTGCACAGGAAACGCATTGGTGTCACTTGGAGATCAATCGTGGTGTCTTCGTTATTGAGCAACGTGTTACTAATGACCGACTTACCCAGGCAAGAGGGTTTTTTCTCCCATCTTCCATCTGCCATGCACGAAATCTTCTCGGTAGGACGACCAGTCGGAAACGCGAATCCAGCGTAACACTGATATGTGGCCAGACCCTTGTACGTGACGTTGGATGATCCAATCGAGAAGCCATTGTCTATTTGGGGCACGGGTCCGCAGTAGACTTCTTGGCACTTGGGAATGTACGTGACGGACCAGTTGCCACCTGGCAGACACTCCGTGGTAATTTTCGGCTTCCCAGTCGCGAATTCCTGCCCCAGGGGGCAGGAGAACGTCACCTGTGTACCGAACGCAGTGTCCCTGCTGGAAGCTAGGGCACCTTCGCCGGACTGAAGATACGGACAGTCTGTGGAAGCCCAAGAACGTTAGTAACCCGGATCACAAGTTACTTGATCGCGTCTACGTCACCTGCTGAGAATTCTGCTTGCCAACCGGGACTACTATGCAAGGCGTCGGAGGTGAATCGGACGAGCATCTCTCCGCTCTCGGCGGTGAGCGTAATCTTTGGCCTAGTGTTGGACGTGAATCCATTCCCAGGGTGCAAACGGAGCCCGTTAGTGTTGGAACCATCGTAGATCTACGGAACACATTCACAAATTAAGACTTCGAAGTTCTTGCGAAAACTTTTCCATGTACGACTTTGACGTTACCTGAACGAAGTCAGTTTTGTGGACGTTGAAGTTAACGAATTTCAAGGACAACGGCCTCCCTTGCGGATTCTTCACCCTGTACATGCACTCCTGGTTGTTAGGGTAATCGTTCAGGCCGAACGATGGCGACTGCACCGTTCCGTTTCTCGCGATGATCGTGGCTTTGCAGCCCTGCGTGTAACGAATGCTGAAGCCGCGTCTGGAATCGCCGAGGCTGGTTTTAAAGTACAGGTACAAGTTGTTCCCGGTAGACATTATCACCGCCGGGTTGTCTTCCGACTTTCCAGTTAACCGTTCGATGGGCCTGCTCATCGGCGAGTCGCCGTCTCTTATCAAGATGTAGTCACGATTCATCTCGAGATCCAGATCCTCGATCTGCAAAGCATCGCGTAAAATCCCTCGAACCGGTCGTCCCGCGAAAACAAACAATTATACAGAGTGTTCGGCCACCTCTGGGAACAAATTTTAATGGGAGATTCTAGAGGCCAAAATAAGACGAAAGTCAAAAAAATTTTCCCCCAGGGGTGACCGAACACCCTGCATAATTCAGTCGCACACCTCCAACGACATGATGCGACCCGGCTGAGCCTGTAGGATGTACAGGCATTCCAAACCTCCCGGATAGTTCTGCGGATATCCTGGTGATGTAAGCACTTGTCCTTGGGGCGTAGCTCGTAGAACTCCGCCGCAGGTTTGCGGCTCGGTCTTCCAAGAAGCGCGGAAACCTTTCCTCTCCACCGAGGAGTCGGTGCTGAATTTAATGATCATAAAGTTCGACGCCGATACGAACAGCTTGTTGCTGAGCTCCTGCTTCCCGGATAGGGTCGCGAGATTCACGGACTTCTCCTCGGTTCTGCCGCCCACCAGGATCTGCACTATGTCGAAACTCTTCTCCGTTTCGAATTCTTGAAACTGGAAACCGCGTGTCGCGTGATACATCGATATATCGTTGCGTTCAGAATAAATTACGGGCGGTTGCGTACCTGCAGGAGGATGTTGTGGCCTTGGGGCCCCTCTAGGGTCCACTTACAGTTGCTGAGGGGTGCATATTTGTGGGGATAATTGGGACTCTCGACCACGTCGCCGCTGCTCGCCATGTAAAACTGGCAGTTCGCCGGGCAGTCTATCTCGTCCGAATAATCGCCGCAGTCATCCTGTTTGTCGCACCTGAACGCCGCGTTCACGCACTTGCCGTTCGAACAATGAAACGAACCTGAACAGATCCGTCATCACCGTGAGACCCAGCGAGTTCGATACGATTTTCGTCATGGTCGTGGTGACTTACCCGCGGGACAAGCGTTCGCCCTGCACATGAAAGGAAGCAACGACTCGCACGTGGTCAGCTCCCACGTTTGTCGGTCATCCATCAAGGCGACGTCCACGCATTCACCTGATTGCGGATTCGGTTGCTTCGACGCCCAGAAACCTGAATACCAGAGCTGTTAAGCGCCACTGTCGCGTAGAAACTACGGTAAACCCTTTCATAGTGTCGCTGGCTCGGGACCGGGCGGTGACACGACAAAAGGGCGGATGGAGGAATTCAATAAGCAGTTCCAGGAACTGATGGAGATGACTAATGGCGGCGCAGTGTTTACGTTTCACGAGCGAACACGTTTCGTTCTTCGATGGGGAGAGTGAAGACGAAAAACGAACGAATGGTGAATTTTAACGACAGAACGTCTCGATAGGCCCGAGAAAAGCCAAAGTGAAAGAAACGTTATGCAAATGCCCGCATAACGCGCCAGACGAGCAAATTGCTGCTTGCGTCGCGACAGACATAAAAGCGACGGTATCTGGGCATTGTTGTGGGAAAAGTGTGTCTTCGTGACTGTATACACTGTGCAGTTCCGCGTTTCCGTGACCCCGATGGAAACCGGCCGGCACGCACACGTGCACGTTTAAGTTCGATCGTAGAAAAAGACGTTCGAAAGTCCACGGATCTCGACAGTTCCGAATTTCGAATCGGAATAAAACGCAGGATCGTCCATGGTGCCAACGATGCGTGGCGATCACGAGCCTGAAGTATTAGGAAGAAGCAAGATTCTACCAACCTGCGTATTGGGAGACGAGCATTCCAGCTGCCGATTCGAGCGTGTTGGTCCGGAGATCGTCGAGGGACGCCAGACCCAGCCAATAACGATCCAAATGCCGGCCGATCATGCTCGCGGACATGTTGTTCTCGCTGTACGACTCCACCACCATCAGCTCGCTGCCGTACCTGCAATCCCACGTCAATCGATCTCGTGCTCCGTTCTAGCGTGTAATAACGCGACTACAAAGCCACCTCGCGTTTCCCAAGTTTCCTATTTTTCAGTTATGCATCGCGAACGTTTGCCCACCGAACTGTTTCGAATGGGTTCGGATTTTCTGAACCGAAGGAGGCGTATCTAGGTGACTCTGAACATTAAACTGTTGGAGGGAACTACTTGTTCCTGGAAATTTCTTGCTAACGCGTAGGATCATTTGTATTTTATTTGAGACTCGATTGTATCAATAGTAAGAGGACCTGGGTTCGGTGGAGGAACTATCGACTTACCTTCTGCATAGTTCTGCCGCCTTTTCCCAAGAGTGCCTGATGTTGAAGAATTTGTAGCAGTGTATGCCTCTCAGTTCCCATCCTGCGGAAGAAAGATCGACGTCTTAGTTTTTATTACGCGTCGATTAGGCGTATGCTTAATTGGATGACGGAACACGTCCTAGAAAGTTTGCTTTGTAAATAATATTGGACAGCAACTAAACAAAATGTCATCCGGATTGGACCAAGATAGTAGAAGTTGTAGGGCAATCTCAAACACACGGAATGCCCGTAAAGTGGGCTGGAAGGAAGTAGTCCAGTTAGAGATGGGACTGAAAAGGGTTTAATCTCGTGTTGGGCGACGCCATTCATCGCGAGCGCGAAAAATCGATGATACAAACGTGGTCACGTGACTCGACAGATCGATCCGCGACGGGCGATGTCTTCGACGCGACTCCGTTTGGCGGGAAACGCGGTTAACCGGTGACCTGTACAGACAGTGACGGACGTAACGACCTCGATCGTTTTTAGTGCGACGCGTGGAGTCAAAGGTAGGTCGGTGGGTAAACGGGTAACATTGCACAGAGGAACGAGTGAAACGTCTTCGCATGCTCGCGTTGTTGACCGTTCGAATTGAGAAGTTGCATATGTGTTGCTCCCAGCGTGTTTGAGTCATCGCCTAACCTAACAGAATATTTTACATTCCCGAACGAGGAAGTTTCTGTACCTTTTCCGAGTCCGTTCACGTTTACGGATGCTTAAGTTCCAAACTTTATTCGGTAGAATATTTCTGATCGTCCGTAATATTTATTAAATACGAAGTTTTCACAATATTAAGAAAATGATAACTTCTGGTAAAATTCTTATATGTACAAGGATGAGACAAGTTGGTTCTACAAATGAAGTTATTATAAATTCTAAAAATGGCCACGCTAACGGTACAATTTGAATTCCGATGAAATATTCATGACGTCATGCGCGAAACGAATGCGCCGTGCCTCGATCTACCCTAGATTTTATGTCAGTCGCCATCTGGTGGCGTTTCCCAGAGGTTCAAGGCTGTTTTCTATGGTTTAAAATATATTTAAGTAGAAATATAATCGGTCGAACGATTTGGAGAATTTGAAAATCATTTTGATCAATTTGCGAGACTGTGCTTCTTTGGACGAATACGTGGACGCGTCCGTATGACAGTCACATTGCACACGGATGTCCAGGAAACTGGTATGTCAGTCTGGTTACCGAGAAATCGATTGGTGCCACGCGAGATCGCCTCGCCGACTATCCTACTTGTTTTACGATTCCTCGAGAAGAGGCCGTTGGAAATCAAAAGTGCTACGAGTAACCGTGTTCTTTTTCCGGAAAGGCTGTGATCGATCGATTTCTTAGCATGAAACGACTCTAGGATCGGCAAACAACTCCAATGGGTTAATAGGCCAGTACACGGCGGTTTTTATAGTTCGATAATTAAAAGTAGAAATTTTATTTCCCGAACGAATGTACTTAGTTGGCAATTCACTGCATTAAATTTAGATGTGAAATAATATTTTATTCGCTGGTTTCCAAACGAAAACAATATTGAGTATTTTCAGTTTTGTAAGCACAAGAGTATTTTACCTGCGAATAAATTTGCCAATAAATTTTTTTCGCGTATTTTACACGCAAGATAAAGCTCCAACGCGTTCGTGTCGATATCACGGGATTCTTCGATGATTCCTCGATGTAATTCGAGCTGGACTCGCCGCGAAAGACACGCAGTCGGCCTTCCTTTCTTTTAAAAGGTTAAACGGCCATGTTGGTACCACGTATGCCGTATCTTTCGCGCCTATTAACATTTCCCTCATCCTGCTATAGCGCAGGCGTGATATTTTCCAGCGATTTTATACCTCTGTTGTGGGAATTTTATTTTATCAAACGGGCCGGATGCTTTAAATCAAAACAGCAAACTAACTCGAACAAGTTATGCGGTCTACGACTGCTTCTGTATCCGTCAGTCATCAGGAACTACCATTTTGCTCTAAGTAACCTAAAATTCAGATTTTACGACGTTGCCGGTGCGTTATGTAATTGGAAAATATAATTACCGACACTAATTTACAATTTTAATGATCAGTTCCGTATTACAATATTTCAAACAACTTCAAAACCACACGTGCTTGAATCTCTGAAAAGGTTAACATGTAGACCGTGTAATTCTTTAATCATAAACGCCTACGTTTGCGTAACTAACAATAAATAAAGGCAATTTAATGCATCTACGACCATAAGATATACGAACGTGGCACAATTTATATTAATCCCATCGAACCTGACGCCCAGGCATATCTAAAAAGTGTCCCAGAATGCTCCAAGCTCCCACGATCGATTTTAAAACGGAGAAAAGTCGCTAAACATCGTACGATAAAAGATAATATAAAAACTAGATAGTTTTTTTTGCATAGAACGCGACGAATGATCGGTCGGTGAAGCACGTTGCCGGATGCTCCACTTTTTGGAATCCCGTTCGAGGACGCTGCTCGCGCGTGCTCGGTCGAGTTTACCTCGTGGAAGGTGGATAACCGTGACGCGAATTCGCGTGGTGTATTTTTAGGGTCGCTCGTTTACATACGACGATGCTCAACGGCGTCCGACTCGATTGCAGGGAAGGATTCACGGTTTAGGAATGCCGTCTCGTTTCTTGGCCCTCCTTCCCTCCTCCCTTCTCACGTTACCACTATACCTGTGTGATCCTCCGGCTCCGATATGCCATTATTGCGTAGCAGGCCGAGAATTTTGGGCCAGGTGCGTGAACGGAGCCTGTTCCGAGCCACAGAATCTTTCTAAACACGAAGACTCTTCACGCTAGCAATGGCGGGCTAAGAATGAATCGAGAAAAGGTTTCGAAAATTTGAAAATTCCACGCTAAATGCCTTTAAACATACCCTTGTATGACTAAATAGTTGATGAATCCAAATCAGTAATAATTAAATGGTAAATTTGGTATTAAAGAAGTCATTTATTTGGAGATTTCAATGCGTGGTTAGGTGTCATCGCCATGGGAGATTTTAACGCTCGCAGAAATTCCAGTTATTGAACAATACCTTTCTCTTACTTTGGCGTAGTAACTTAAACAGGTTTTACCATGTATTTTTTTGCTGCGCCCATGGCTAAAACACTTAAAGATGAAACGCCACACGAAACGCTTCGCTTTCGAGGCCTTGGGCCAAGAATACCCGATTAAAATAAAGTTGTTTTCGTAGCTGAAATCGACGGAATTCTCTTGCGTTGAAAAACATCGTGAATTCGTCCATACGCCTAGATCGAAGTTGAAATATCTCAAACGCACGCGACAGAAGACGGTCAACGATCGAGGAACTTCGTACTGATACGTGCAACCTACTTAATTGCAACTGGTAGCTACGAGGAAAAGTGGAGCAGCGTTACGAACGGCCGAACTCTTATCCTCATTGTCCCTCGCGCGATATATTCATCGGACGCGTCATGCCTCGATATTTCTCTTTCAACGATGCCACACGATTTCTTGTTCAAAAGCAAATCGAAAGTGTAAAATACGATTTTTTCATCCGAGTCTTTGTTTTCGAGAAAAATGGCTTTGAACGTGGATGCGCGCGCAGCAAGCGCCCAAAGCGACTGTTTCTAACAGTTAAATCGACTTTACACCTAAACTACTGATCCTAGAGCAACGATGCATCAGACTACTTCGTTCCTTTCTTCAAGATCTATCGTTCAAAGAAAGAACGAAGTCGATCCGACAATTTTCATATTTTTAAACCGATGATAAATATTTTGTAAATTATCCTGACAGAGTAAGAATCGATGGAACAGGTTTTCACTTGGTGGAACAGGTAAATCGTTTCGGAGCATGACCTCGGTCCACTTGTTTGGCAGTCTACCTGGCCAGGTACAGGGCCGCCAGATGCGACCTTTCCAAGGTAACCCAAGGTCCAGTTCGACTGTTTACCTGCTCCAGCGATCATAGAAAAGCAGAGAAATCTTTGATGTTACTCACCGTTCGGACAGGTGAAGACATTCGTGGCTGGAATCTGCAACAAAGAGAGAAAGGAATGCATTGGAAACGGTTTATAGCGTCGTAAATCAAAGGGCCTGGCCGCCCGAGATGCTTTCGGGTAATTTATTTCGCTAAAGAGACTCGTAGTTGCAGCGGTAAATTTTGTTAGAGGTTTTCCTAATAAAATCTGTGAACGTTACTTCGGTCTCTCGAACTTCGCCAGTTCCTTTCACGTTTAGCTTCCTCTATCGACGATTTCAATTGGGTCCACGTAACTTGTAGAACTAGTTTCTTCGTTCATTTATCTAATTTAGGGTGGAACACCCTCGGCCCGCTTAATGCATACCATTTAATCCCCATTACACGCTCCATGATGACTTAAATTACTGGCACAGATTTCTCTCGCGAACAAGGATGCTATCTGCGTTCTTGTGCGTGCTCGATCTTGCAATTAGCCCGACGTGATTACCCAGTGACGAAACGTCGAAGCACCAGACTCTCGCGTATATCGTGGGACACGGCGGATAAATTGTAGGCGGAAGTATCGCGGGAGCCCGTCGTAAATTACGACGTTGGATTACATAAAAAGATGACACTATAGTTGTTGGTTGCAAGGTGGAGGAGCACGAAGAAGAAAGTGGGTCTTTTTTTATTGAACGCAGGGAAGGAAAGAGTTGAGCTAGGTTCGTACCTCTTCGCTAGAACTGAATCACCGGAGAAGACTTCTAACACCACATTCCCACTTATAGAAAGTGATTAATCAAGTAGTTGTTGAAGTTTTTGATCGTACAGACAAAGTGGAACAATGGGGCTAGTTTATAACGCCTCCGCTAGAGTCGTACAGCGTGAAGAGCAGCCTAAAGCCACATTCCCACTTATGGAAGTAACTCTGTTAAGGGGGGATTCCCATTATTCGATAATTATTGAAATTTTTCTGTCAATAGTTAATTTACGAATAGAATTAGTTTCTATGGTAAATATATCACCGTAATCCACGTATTAACAGATAAAATAAGCGTGATATTCCCAGACGCATCGGTCCGCAGATAAAATTCGCTCCGATCGAGAATCTACCGTTACGTTCACGAATATCAAAAGGTCACCGATGTTTAACGATTACTTCTGTAGTTACAAGTTTCCTCGGAGCATGTGTAGCAACGATCGTTAAATTCCCTAGGAGTTTTCTTAGTCATTCGTCGAACTAGATCGATACGTTTCGATGTTTCGTAGGATTTTCGCGAATAATGCACCTGGCAACGCGAAATGGCGCGGATCCGCAGGTGGTTCGAGACGAAACAGGGCATTGTTATTCCCCGGTGGGAGAAAGTGAAGAGGCAATCTACCGGCGGATCTGTGCTCTGGGCCCGTCTTTGGCGGAAAGCGCAGCGTGCTGTTCGTGCGATGGAAACCGACGGGTCTCGACTCCTTTTCATCAGCGTCAGCGGGTACGCGCACCGGAATATCAGTGACATAACGGTGACTGCATTCTTGAGAGAGGTGCGAGTCGTAGCCGACCGCTGGATGCACGGGAAAACACTCGTTGGAGATTACACGCGATCGCGCGACAATCGCTGATGTGAATCGCGGGAATATCCCTAGGCTAAAGCCCCGTTTACAATTACCGAACGAACGCGATCGAATTTTGAGCTCGCGACTCTTACACGACACGATCAATTCGTAGAGAAAGATAGATGAAAGATAAATACAAACAATTTCTTCTTAAATAATTACTTACATAATTAAACTCTGTTGCATTAGTATGAATGTTACGCAAGTTTATATTAAAGCACGCAGTTACGTAAGTAACCTACACGTCTCGTGTTAACTTAATCTTGTGTGACCAGTGAAAATAATACGGTGAGACCTTAGTTGACTAATGTTTCTAGTTCAGATGGCTCACCTTGCTATCAAAGGAACCCGTATCTTATGTTAGGACTCGTTATGTAAACTATAAACGTAGCTTTCTTATTCGTCAGGCAAAAAAGTATTTCTAATATTGTGGTGAAAGGGTTATGCATTAAATAATTAGAATTAATTTTCGAACACGAAACAAGACTGCGGACGACTCGATAATTCAGAATCCTGTTTACATCGAATTTCTCTTGAACTTTACCTAGCCTTTCCCTGACGTCCACACTTCCTGTACACAAAATGTTGCAACGGTCGTGCACGCTATAACATTGTTCGCGCGTCGGCTAGGGCGCATGCGTGTACGCGAGCCGCGCAGAAATTCACTTTCACCTCGCGCACGCCACATCCACCGTGGCCAGTGGTAACTCCTTGCGGAGACCACTTGTCAATTACTTCATAATCCGCGGTTCAATTTCTCAAGAATCCTAGGCAGCCTCTTATCTCGAAAGTATACGAGAATTCCCGATGCTGATTTTCATTCTCGACTCGCAATTAGGTACTGTTGCGTGATGCTGTTCGCACACGAATCGATGGAATCGAATTATAACTTGAAAATTACTATTCGCGTTTATCGAGAGACTCATATGAATAATTAATCTCTAAACATCAATTTCTATTTCTTAGATATGATTTTTCTAACATCAAGACCCTCATTTTGATCATTTTTAGTAATATAATTATATTAATTTGCATGGACGAATATTTCTTGGAGGTAGTTATCATTTTTGTGAATTTCTTTGTGAATATTAAATACCATCGCACGTATTTAAAGAAATTACACTTTTGTGGTTTCTGGTTTGTGGTGTGTGGTTTGTGATTTATGATTCTTGAATTGTGATTTATGACTTGCAATTTGCGGTTTGTGACTTATGTATTTTGAATTGTGATTTGTGACAAAAAAGACAGGAAGATAATATCGAACCAAGCAAGAAATAATCGCGGAACAAGTGGGATTCGTGGGTTAAACAATGCTGTCCGCGATGTGATTGGCAAGCCATAGGAGAATATTAATCGAACGCTCACCTGAGACTCCGTTAGCTGAAGATGGCACAAGAGGACGGCGACCCACACGGCCGCCAATTCTCTTATCAGCATATTCCTGCAACAGAAAGAAACACTTCGTTTATACGGGCTGTTCGTTAGCATTGACGGTTCAATTTATGCTGACGGTATGCAAAATACACGGACGCGGGGAATGTGTTTCGAATGTCTTAAACAAGGATACCTTATAGTCCCAGGGTACTTTCGACATAATGTTTTAACGAAAACGAAGATAAACAAACGAATAATCACCGAAAGTGAAATCGTCCGGAGACCAAAGATTCCGAGGCAATGTTGCGTCGAAAGCTCGACGAAGCTGGAGTCGGGCGACGAAAAAAGTGACGAAGAACGGATGATTAATTGCTACCTGAACGCGAACAGTAATTAACAGCCTCGCGTAGCGTACGTAAGATTCAATGAAACTTTTCGTACGCTGGAAAACACGCGGAAGATATCGTCGTTCTACTGTATATAGGATGTACACCGGTTCCCATAAAATTCCTTACGGTTTCTGCGGCTGAATTGTGGCACAGCAGTTGCATACCTTGCCGCGTAACCGAGAAGCGTGATAAATCTTCGCGGATAGCGACTTATTATTTAACGACGATGCACCGTGCTAGCACACGATCGATAAAAGGGTCATCCGCGGGTAAATCGAACTGAAAATAAGAAAATTTATTCGAAACTGATAATTATCTTATTTTCAAATTATTTTATATACTGCTCAAACATGATCAAACGTCTTCAAACTGGACACAAGAGGACAGAGACTGTCGTGCTACATCGAAAACGCCTACACAATGTACAGAGCCATTTCAAACACCACGCAACTCTGATCAAACGTCTTCAAATTAATTACAACACGAGCATACCAAACTGTTGTCAAACAGGGGAGCAAAAGATTCTCCATTGAATTTGTTCTAGAAGCAGTTATCTTATTTCCTCAAGCTTCAACCTATATTTTAACTTGTTCAAACATGGTCAAACTACTCGCAACAGGGAAATGAAGCCCGCAGTCCCTCTATTTGCTCATATTCAACAGCCACGCGTACATACGCGGGATCGCGGTGCTCCGCGCCGAAGAAAAGACACGAGAAACGACGTACCCCCGTTGGGAACCGTTATGCCAGTTACGGACGGTCGATTATCGACAGTCACCGGGTGAAGGTGGCGGCGCAGAGGCGTTTAACTTACATACCTAGTCCGACCAGATTTCCTGCGAGCGTAAACGTAATCTCGGCGTGGTCAGCTTAGACGATGCAGACTTCCTGTCGATTGCGACTAACGGGTCTTCCGGCCCGGTCGGACGATCATCATAACATTCGTTGAATGACTACGCACCCTAGTATCTCAACACGCTTTGCAATACAAGAACAAACGAATCCTCGACTGAATCGATGATTAGAGAACCGACCTAATTACACGTCTCCAAAGAGAATCACAGAGCAGTGCCTTGTTGGAGTACCGTTAGCGTTATCGAGTATCCTGTCACGGTATTGTCTGGCTCTGGTTTAAATGAAGCTTCCAGGGTCGCCCAGCAGTACCTTTAAACGAGCCTTTGTGACTCGTTTGATACTGTTGAACGCGTTTCGGAAGTACACAATGAGGCGAAGAAGTCATCAGGATAAGGCCCAAAAGAAAACATGCAATAGCACTCAGAGTCAAAATGTCATTTGAGTATCCTACTTTGATGATATAGAGAAGATCGAGGACACTATTCTCGATGTAAACCTCTTGGTATGTAGGTGATATAGCTGAAAATGTCCGTTTTACCGTAGCAAGGTGGTCGAGAAATACCTAAATGGTATGGAAACCGATATTTGTAACGGTAATAACGGTGGTGGTTAACGAATGTATTCTCCGCCAGACAGGCTTTCAGCTCTATTTATATCACATATTGCGAAGTGATATAACTTCCACCTATATAACAACCACCTCCTACTTATCGACACAATGCAACGAACGTGCTTCGCGTATAATATCGAGGTTAATGGTCTATTATATCCTCAATGTCCTCCAGTCTTCTTTGTTTTAGTCAGTACAGTTCGAATAACTATCTATACTAAATATAGAGATCGCTACTGGAGACAAAATATTAAACTGTTATTCGGCTGCTCAGATCACTTTTCACCTACTTTAAAAAGAGGGACAAACTACAATTCGAAACTTCAAGAACGAGGACCTCGCTAAGGGGTTAATAAAGACTCATTCATTCTATGAACCTATTCAACAACAAGCAAGGAAACCATGTGTGCTTGATTACTGCATATAAAAGAGTGAATAAGACTCCAATTTAAGGCATCAGTTTCCTGCCTTTCACAATAAACTCAAATATAAAGGCCACAAGTCTCATTCATCTTATACACAGACTAACGTGTCTCTGATCAAACTCCATACAAAATAATAATATGTTCCTGTCCAGACCAGCTGAATAGGTCCCCATTTCGAGACTTAAGTTTTCTGACTTTTCTCCGTGGTTCCAAAGGTAGATGGCGCCACTGAGGAATCAATAACAAATCCTAATCATGTGTCATACAACTCATGTACCGAACGGGTCTTCAATTTGGGACTCAAGTTTCCCTTCTGATCCCCGCGTCTCTTGAGGCAGATGTCGCCACTGAGGCGTAAATAAAAAATCATCTTCCACTATGAAACCAGGCGTACCAATTAAGTATAACCTGTTTCTGGGTACCCAGTACGAAAGAACAAATAAGAGACCCTAATTTCCTCGGTTTCCCAATGACCCCGAAAGGCAAACATGGCCGATGGTGCGCTCCAGTTGGTCCCCATCGGTGCGACTCGCGCGTCGCGATGGAGGAACAATGGAGCGTTGCATAAAAGCGTCCGTATAACGGCGATGAACTCCGCGTCGCGAAATAATAAACTTTCGCGATTCACCGGCGTTTCCACGCGGCTGGCAACACGCTCCCCGCGACTGGTGGGTGTACCACGATGCATTTCCCACGAGTTCGCTACGTCCAATCCACGGCAAGACGGTTGCGTCACTCGTATCCTCGCAATTAGCCATAACCCGTCGCGCAAACGTGCGTATGCGTGTGCTGCGCACGTGCAATCGTTCCGTTTACTCTCGGGGACTGTTGGATTCTCATTGGACACTCGTTGAATTCTCGTTTGAGACCGGCTCGTCGAACGGGTTGCGCGACAGCTTGTTTTCCAGCGTTCTGCAATCCGTCGATCGACAATTTGGAAACATCTTGTTGGAACACCGATTATTTGAGGTTAGAATGCTAAAACAGCGTTTCTGATTGCGTCTTGCCTGTTGAGCGTCTAAACTAGGCACGTATTGCGTGAATGGAGGTGAGCATAATTGCGTTCGTATTATAGATAACCTATAAGATCAATGTATAGGAATTTCGACTGATCAGAAGCGAATTGAGGACATTTTATATTATAATAAAATGTTGTATTTTGAGGAACAAATGATAATAACCGAACGAATGGTTCGTATACTAAATAAGGAGAAGATTCGAGACGGGCGTTAACTGGACGCGGCAATTAGAGTATATCAAATTAAGAGTCGCGTTCTTCTTGGCGCTGTTGCTATGGCGCATCACGCTCTTTACACCGCGGAGGCCTCGATTTGCACGCCAGCCTCGTCGACTTTGCAAAGTACTTGCACGGAACTTATTAAAATCGGTAAACAGAATGATCGCTCGGATAATGGCGCAGGAAGGAACGGGGAATCGTGACGGCCCGACGAAGGGTACTTCCACCGAGGCCATCATAACCTAAGTTCAACATCCACATACTATACTGCTAAACCACTACATCACAAATCATTTTTAATATCAACAACTTTACGTTACTTGGTACATCGACGATCTAGTGGTGGCTAACTAGTTTCATAGCTAATTCTTGGTTTAATACTTGCTCATTACTGTACTATAAAAGTACTACGAAATTCTAAGTTATGTCTCGACTAAATTTGATTGATTAATCCATTAACAACAAATGGAACGATGCTAGGTGTAATTAGTATTCGATTAATAACCTAGACCTAACCTAGAACCTCTTTGTTTTTTTATAGTATGTATCTATTAGTTATCAATAAATATAGATATAGAGGTTGTAGAGTTTTAGGTTAGGTCGGCCCCATTTTCACCCCAACGATATAATATATTAATAGATATACAAAACTAATTTCTTGGGAATAATTTTCGAAGAATGTAATAAATGATTTTAATCTATGCTCGCGCAGACCCATCGTCATCGTCTCATTAATCTTTATAGCAACGTTCGACGAGGGTCTGCTAACAATTTTCCTAATGGCCGATACGCAATAACGTTGCCTTGCTAGATTTTACATCCAATTTGTTTGCGACTAAAAATGTTCGTGCTAGAATCGTATTCCGTAACAGAGGAAATTTTGAAACGCTCGGGAAGATTCCGACGAGACAACGCAGGAAGGAGCGAAGTAAAAGCTAATTAAGGCACGATTGCGCTTTTGGCTCGCCCTATGGTTCATTAACGGAGCGCGATAATCGTAGCTCGTTACTGGCTCGCGAAACGTACGAAAAAAAAAAGGAAATGGAAGGAAGGAAATCGCGATCTGAGGCTGTAGGTCAGTACTAGAAAGTATTCGGATTTCCTGGTTGCCGGCACGAAACGGCGCATGCAAAAACCGACCGTCGATTCTCAGGATTCGACGCGTTTTCATTGCGAAAACCGTCATGGCGCGAAACTGAACAATCGTCGCTGTCCCGGTGAATTCGCGGAACCAGTTTTGTGCAACTGTTCGGCAAAAAATAAAGTCTCGAACGAACGACGCGAGGACTGAAAGACGGAAGGAAAGGCAAATGGCGCGCGCATTAAGGCCAATTTACACTACTGACCGAAAATGGTGGCTTGTTAGCCTCATTGGAAATGTAAAATATTGTTCTTGCGAGCATCAACCAGGCTAATGACGATGTAATTTTCGTTTCATCAATTCTATGTTATTCGCCAACTGTTCTCCAACTTTGTAAATAAATTCGGAAGTTTTCGGAACACATAGAAACACATTTTTGATGGATCCTTAAGGAAATTACAAAACG